GAGAGAGAGAGAGAGAGAGAGAGAGAGAGAGAGAGAGAGAGAGAGAGAGAGAGAGAGAGAGAGGTGTTACAGGCAGAGGTTATGTCGGGCTATCGGGTCCAGGAGCTGATTCGACATCGCAGGGGCGGACATTGATTGGACATTCGACAGGTTATGTCGGGCTATCGGGTCCAGGAGCTGATTCGACATCGCAGGGGCGGACATTGATTGGACATTCGACAGGGATACTATTTTTGGACTGCGCTATCGTGACTTTGGCCTTCTCCCTCATCTTCATCTTCGTCTTGCACTTCCTCCATCCCCTTATCTGTCCCCATATGCGTGCTCAAGGAGGGACCTTTCTTCTGTGTATGTTGTCCCTCCCTTCTCTCTCACATGTGTGGTTTCTGATGGGTTGGGACGAGTCAGTGTCCGACTGGTCAGGTCATATTTTTGAGTCTTTCACTGCTGCAAGGAATATGAGCGAGAGCGGTATGTTATGAACTTGGTTGCTTGTCAGCGATTTGCCAACTCTCACACACATATTCCCCCATGCATGCCCATACACACATGGAAGAGAGGGGAGAGGAAGAGGAAGATCACATCACACAGAAGCAATATGCGCAGCAGAAGACTTGTCCATGCAACATGACTATCACACTGACAGTGCGATTACCCCTCAGAGTCTCCTCACAACCAATCACAAAAGAACCACCAAGTAGATCACATCCAGAGATACAATGAACACTGAAAAAGCAAATTACCAAGTATCAGAGTTTCGTCACATCAATAATTGTCTCAGATCAGTATGGCGCTGCTCTGAAAGAGCAGCGCTTCCCTTCCCTCTACTGGGTTAGTCGCCACTACTTCCCCAGAGCCCAGAAACATCAATCGCCACTCAGAGCTGCCTCCTGAGGAACAGCGCCACCCAACAGATGAAGAAGACGACCAGCGCCACAGTGTCTGATGAAGATGGGGCATCAGGCCACCTTCTAGATGAAGATCAACAGCTGCGCCACCCTTCCTGATGAGGAAGACGACCTCTGAGAACTAGCAATGCAGCTATGGCTACAGCCCACCACTTCAAAGCTTCCAGCAGACCTCCTCCAGATAGCCCTGATCTCCTGACGACCCCAACGTGCTGCAGGAGGATAGAGGAGCCCCAGCTATGGCTATCTCTCCAGGAATCAGGCTATGGTCGACGTCTCTCGCGTGCTCCCACGCGTAGCAGCAGTGAACAGTCTCTCACCTGCAAGAACAATCACGAGAAATTACCCAACTGCCAAAAGCCTCCAACAGTCTTCGACAATCTATTAATAGCTCTACCCTAGCCTAGACTCGACCTAGACCGGACTGATTGGACCGACCGGTACCATTTCAGTTTCTGCCTCTCGAGCGTCTCCCTACCCGGCTATAGGCTATAGGACCGTCTAACAGCGTAGGCCTTAGGGCCTGTCCGTCCTAGTGGTAGCCCGGGCCTGCTATTTGCAGTTAGGGTAGTTGTAGGAAATTCGGGTCAGTGCAGGCCTCAAATTTTCCTCACAGTCAGATATCTCGGTCAGCCCTCAGCCAAACAAAATAATGAATCTGGCCTACTTACAGCCTCGAATCGACGGGCCACCGGCAGCAGAATCAGCAAGTCATTGCAGACCTACCCTCCCCTGGAGCGAGGACCTCCGAGCCAGGGGCGTAGGCGTGCAGAGCGCCAAAGGAATTGCCCCTTCTTGGCTGCCTCATATTTGAGGACAATTGACTTTGCTGTCTTGAGGAGTTCCCTGTGTATAAACCAGCGATCCTCAGTGTGAGGCTGGTACAGGAACTTCACAAGATACTGCATGTCTGGACCTGTGCCCATCTCATCCTCAATCCACTCCACTTCATATCCCTTACCTTGGATTGCTGGACCAAATTGAGGGGGTCTGTCTGGAAAGGCATCAGCTGATGTAAAAGGCAACAGCTTAGATGCATGGAAGACCGGATAGGTTTGTAAATGCAGGGGAACATCCATAGTATAGGATGGTCCAAAGGACCGGATAGGTTTGTAAATGCAGGGCAACATCCATAGTATAGGATGGTCCAAAGGGATCAGCTCCCACTATATCTAAAACCTGCCATGGACCCATGTATCGTGGTAACAGCTTAGGTGAAATGTCCTCCTCGGGTGATAACTCAGAACTGAGAACCCAAACCCAGTCACATGTGTGAATGGTAGAGGGGCGACGATGCCTGTTAGCCTGCTAAATCATAGCCTTTTGGGCTTTGAGCAAGTTGGCACGAGCGCGCTCAATATCCACACGATAACGCCTGGTGAACTCTTCGTTTCTCGGTGTCAGTGTAGGGGTAGCCTTGTCGATGATATCATCGAGAGGCTGCCGTGGCTCACGACTCCAGTGTAGCCGGTAGGGTGTGAAACCGGTAGAGGAGTGGACAGGCGTATTATACAGTAGTTGTGCACGACCCAAATGCAGATCCCAGTCTTGCTGATCTGGGCTGATCACATGACGCAACAACTGAAACAAAATCTGATTCATCACTTCAGCTGACCATTGGCCTCAGGATGGCGACCAATGCAGTAGGATTGCCATTCATTGCTGCAAAATCTGGGATCTCGGTCACTGACTATCGAGGTGGGTGGTCCATGATGTGTAACCCACATGTCAGCAAAAGCTGCCTGTAAGGCTGGAACACGAGCCTCGACTGGTAAGGGGATGAACTCCGCACATTTGGAAAACTGGTCTACGCACACCATAACCTGACGCATACCATGTGGCATGGTTCTGCCCAAGTCTGTGACATCGATATGCATAAATTGTGCAGGTGCCTCAAGGATAAGAAGTGGATGGAGTAGGCCAAGGGGAGGCTTACGTACGACCTTATTCCTCTGGCACAACTCACAGGTTTCCACATAATGCAGCATGTCACTCCTCATCTCCTTCCAAAAGAACCGTTGCGACAGGAGCTGCATACAATTTAAGGGCCCCAAAGTGACCACGAGCATCATGACACTCAGACATAAAGAGGGTTCTGAGCTTGCGATCAGAAGGGATGCGCAGGCGTTCCTCACCTCTGCTGTATGTGTACAGCAGGTCTGAAACCAGAATATAACCAGGTTCAAAGGTAGGATCAGCCTGGAGATTCCTTACAATGGGTCCGAAAATTGGATCCTGTGGCATCAGGCGGCGCTACGGTGTAGGAGTTGTACTTCAGCAGGATAGTGGAAATAGTCTGCAACCAATTGAGTACATGAGTAAGAAGATCAAATCAAAGAAGTTGCAGGATTCGACTTGTAAGAAGGAGCTATATGCCCTTGTTTCAGCGCCCAAGCATTGGAAGCACTTTTTATTGGGAAGGCACTTCAAGATCTTTTCAGATCACTCCACCCTACAGTGGATGAAGCCCCAGGGAGAGTTAAATGATAAGCTTGCCCGCTACATGCAGTTCATTAACATGTTTGACTTTGAATTGAAACACAAGAAGGGCTGCTATAATCGAGTAGCAGATGCCCTCTCATGTAAACTTGATGCGCTCTTCTTAATCTCCTTTACTCGTTCCTTTGCTGAGAAGACACGTCAGACCATTTTGCTAGCATCAGTAGTTAGCACAAAAGGTAATGTAGGATCTGGAAGCTTCATAACAGGAGCACGAATCAAGTCCTCCTTAAAACGTGTGAAAGCCTGCTGACATTCAGATGTCCAAAGAAAGGAAGTGTTTTTCTTTGTAAGGTCGGTCAGAGGGGCAGCAAGAGAAGAGAAGTTCTTAACGAACTTCCTATAATATGATGCAAGCCCCATGAAAGACCGGACATCACGAACGTTCAG